TAGTTTTATTTTCCTTGGGAAAAGTTAAAAATCAATGAATGGTTAGCTATTGAATTTTCCTAAGTGAAATATTTCACAAACAGTATCACAGTACGGTAGGTAAAGTAATTACGTTTAGACTTACCGCCCTGAATGAGGCTGATTGCCATGGAGATTGAAAGCAAACGAATGTATGTCGTCGTTGCCATGGTTTCATGCGTCTAGTGAAGAAAGAACAGTCACATCCTTCCATTAAAACTATGGGTAAGTTAAAACGTTTAGCTCTCAGTATTTGGTTTATTTCGTTCATAAGTCGTTCACGAGACATGTCAGGACTAAAATAAAACTACTTTATCGGAAGGGGAAGGGGAAAGGTGGGTCGATGAATTTAAATTTTTTAAATTTCTTTTTGGTGTAGGTTTTTTTTTTTTTTTTTTTTTTTTTTTATTTTCTTTTGGTTAAAGTGATCTACTTGCTGGATGGACTGAGTTGAAAGAAAATGTCTACATTAAAAAAAAATATGAAGAAACAAGTCTTTTGTGGTTTCTGTTAAAAAAATCGCTCAACTGTTTATATTCGATGTTTGACCATTATTTTTTTAAAGCAAGAACTGTTGCGCCCATTTAACCTTGAATTATTAAAAACAATGATAGTGATTTTGTATTATGTTACGGAAATCGAAACAAATTAAATCTGGTGAAATATATCTGCTTTTATGCAAGGGAAAGAATTAACTCTTTCCTAAACATACATTTCCCCGAGCATTTTTTTTTCTCTGGGAAACATCAAAACCACAAGACCCTATTCAGTTAGATATTTAGAAATGTGATAGTTAAATGTTGAAGCTTCGCAATAGCAGAATAGCAGGTAGACAGTATCGCAACAATGCCTTCCATTATTATCCCGGTAACATTGGGTCATAGCTTCTAGTAATAAATAAAAATATACACAGTGAAGACAGGCAATTCAATTTCAACACAAGAACTATTCGGCTTCTTAAAAGATTTTGTTCGTTGGTATGTTTTGTTAGACCGACGTCAATGTTCCCATTAAGAAAGAACTGTCCATCTGGGCACGAAAACAACTTACACATTCAAAACACTTCACCATTTAAAGCTTTCTCACACAATTCACAAACTAAATGATCAATATTATGTATTCAATGTATCTATAAAGCAGAGCAAGATGTACATTCCTGAAAAAAGTATTATTTCTTCTCCTTGAAGATTTCATTATACCGGTATGCGAATTTGAGCAACGTCTCAGAAATTTGAATAAAATTACATTTGTGACACAAGGACAGTTCAATAAAAAAAATTTTTTTTAAAAAAGACAAAAGAATATGCACTTATGTATCGCATATTGCTTTTAATTATTACGATTAGCACCCGATTGAGCCACAATGCTTTAGTTCACTTAGCACCCGATTGAGCCACAATCCTTTAGTTCACTTAGCACCCGATTGAGCCACAATGCTTTAGTTCACTTAGCACCCGATTGAGCCACAATCCTTTAGTTGGCCCAGCACCCGTTGAGCACAACCCCTTACACTATGCATCCACAGAAGTGATCAACTATCCAGTTTCAGGTTCAGTGTTATGTTCTGTTCTTTCTACCGTGATGATGTGTGGGACGAGGAATATGCAAAGAACGAGTGATCAAATTGTATTTGTACCGTTAACAAGACACAGTTTTAAGTTTAGCTTAATAAAAACAATTCATCTTTTTAAAAACGTTATCTTTTTTCCCCCCTCAATCATTTAACATGTAAACCATATAGGCATACATTTTTTTTTAAAGTCATAGATATCCTTTTTGCTATAGCGTTATTGACTTAATAGAGGCTGTGCCGCAGTTGCCCGAGCTTTAGAACGTGTGTTGTAGCGTCAAAATTAAACCGGAAAATGTCTTCACTTCCGCGTTTGCTCTTTGGCTTCAATTTGATGTTTTATTAACACTGTCAATGGTTTGGGCTGATCGAGTCCAAGATTTTTCAAGATTTGTTAATGACACCCACAGAATACATCGTTATACCACAAAAAATTACACTTACTTACAATTGTAGTAACCGATGTTTTCAAAAACAATTTGTATCAAACTGTTGTCAGCACCTTCTCTTCGCCATTTTGTTCTTTTAAAAAAAGAAACCACAATGGCGTCGATCTCAAACCTGCGATAAACCGTCTGACCTTAGCGGGAGGTCAATGATAGCAGGCCAGCTTATCATCAACAACAACAAAACACAGGCCACTCATCATTGCGCTTATCTACGACCAGTGACGGGAACTTGAGCCAATTTCAAAATGCTTTTAAAAATTCAGTCGCTATCGTGAACACATGGTGTGCCCAGGGAAGGGCTGAGCTACACATCTTTTTGTCTTTCATTATCCGCAAAGTCGAACGACTGAATGACCAGCAATGAACGTACAAAGTGGAATGCCTTAATGAGAGGCTGGGTGGCTGTGCGGTCGACACCTCGCCCATTCCAGCTTGCGGACTTGTGTTCCAACAACGCCTTGGTTGGCAACTCATCCAAGAGAAAGAAAACTGTGATTTCACTTGCCACGTCTAGCTGTATTACACACACGGGATGTTCGCTTGGCTTCTCTAGATGCGCGAAGAGGGGTGACTTGCAGGGAATAATCGAAGGCCTTGTGATTTCGTCCTTGGAAGTCTTACACCATCGTCACAATGTGACGTACGGATGCCAATAATAATCTCTAAACGAAAAGTGGTGTTTCTACAAATAATTTGATCAATGTTACCAAGTGTAACGTAACACTTTAAGCGCCTTTATAACTTTATATGGCCTTTCAAAAATTATTTTATATTAATATTCTAATGTCTCACCCGCTTTTAAACCGCAGATTAATTTCAACTGTTTATAGAAAAACAAAAGAAAATATTGCGCACTAAACGCACCTCAGATATATTTTGTGCAAGAACTTCATTTAGCGCAGTTATCGGGAATTTTATTTCATGGAATCGGTGGCATCATACTTTCTGGGCTTGGGGTGGGGGCTGAACATTAATTTTGATGGAATGTGTTGTCAACGAGACCATTTGCCAGGTTTCAGTTCGAGAGGTTGACGGAAAGTGGGTCAATTAGCCGTCCAAGGATTTTTGCCACAGAGCCAAAAAAAAAAAAAAGAAAGAAACACACGAACGAAAGCGAAGTTTATATAAAATGTTTAATAAAAGTATGGGGTTGAAGAAAATATGCAGATATTTTAAATTAATTATTTTGGGCATACTGGGCAAATGATACAGAGATTTGGCACCATAGTATAGTATAGAGACTGAAAGCAAAGTAAGACGTGCTGGCGTCCACCTATCTAAACTTTAAGCGTTTCACAAATCACAAACGGAGAATACATTTAAAAAAAAAAAAAAAAACTTATGTAGAAAATGTGTCCAAAAAGTTTATAAGAATGAAGTCTGCCTTTCATAATGTCAGGCGACCTTGAAATATGATAATGAGCTGTTACACAACGCCAGGCACCAAGGAAGCAACAGGAAATATTTAAATGTTAAGTTTCCTTTGACTTGTCCTGAGACCTGCTGTATACACAGGGCCGGCCTTTAGAGTGTGCGACCTGTGCCCTCGCACAGGGTGCCGTGGCCAAAGGGAAGCTTAGGGCGCCCAGTAAATATTTAAATTCCCGTAGTTTAGTATAGTGAAGTGTGACTCTCGGGTCCCGGGGGGGGGGGGGGGGGGGGGGGGGGGGTCGAGAAACGGTATTCTATTTTTCGTACAATCGCTTTTCATTCAATGAGTTTTCATACAATGAAAGTTGTATTCTTAATTTGGATACTAGCACTGGGGCACGGGAACAACCGAAAGGGCGTGGAAATTAATGTATTAATACCGTATTTCCTTGTCACTCTTACAATTATTTCAGCAGAAAGAATATGGGGAGCAAAAACGCTTTCCGGGGTGCAAAATCGCAAGCGCAAAGCAGAAAAAGTACCTTGTAATCGGAAAAAAAATCGGAGCCAAACAGGGACAGGGAAGGGGGCGCCGAACGTGTGCTTCGCACAGGGCGAGAGTTTACCTAAGGCTTATTTTTGGCGCCTCTCATAAGTATAATCATTAAAGGAAAAAAACTAGTTATTTGGTAATGAGTTTATTACATATGTTGTTGTTCCCTTTTTAAAACTGTTCATTGTTTGTTAAAAAACAACAACATAGGTAATGAACTCATTACCGAATACGTAGGTTTTTTTTTCCTGTAATGATTATACTTTAAAGTAAGAGGTGCCAAAGTTAAGCTTGCACAGGGCGCCAGCAACCGTCGGGCCGGCACTGGTACACAGTGAGCACACCCTGTCACTGCAACAGCCATCAACGCGGGGTCATAAGAACAATCTTATCTGTCGTATCGAGCTCCTGGATGCCGGAGTGGGACAAGTACTCAGAGAGGACATTTTGGGGGAAATTATAAATGGCTTATAATTGTATAGTTTAAACTTGGTCATCTTGACCCATGGTGATGGGTTGGTTTCGACCCTGTCCCCCTTCCCCCCAAATCTACGGACTGAATTGCAGAATTACACGGAAGAGTGGTACACATAGAACTCATCTGCAGAATTACACGGAAGAGTGGTACACATAGAACTCATCTGCTTATCCAAACGAATGTCATCAAACGTTTGGCAGACGTTGTATCACGATGCATTGACCCCATTAACGACTAATTTGTATGGACCAACTGAAGACAATTGGGGGAAGTGGGGGGAAAGAACTGAAATATATTTGAGAGTTCGAATGTGATCCAAGGACCACAGGTTAAGAACCGCTGGATTAGAATTTTTTTTATCGTGAAATATAAACTTCATTTTTAAAAAAAATAATCAATAAAACATTTGCAGCCCTCCTGCCACCTTTTTAAAATTAGGTATGTTTTCCGTAACGCATTAGTCGCCCCCGTTAATTTCGTGATGGCCTGAGGCTATGACCAGTGTTGGGATTGGGACTTGGACATCGTTAGTTAAGTTATAAAGAGAAACCTCCCACCTGACAGGTATCGATACTCAACATCGTCAACACCCATTTTGCCACCCATTTGGCGCGAGCATAATAAAAACGACGGCATCGCCCTTCATTTGCGCGAGACTATTCACACACCAAAAAAAAAAACTTGTAGTGTTTAGTCGTAGGGGCTGCCGAGAGATTTCAGGACAGATTCGTCGGGCTCTACGTGTTCATTCACGTCACATTGCAGAGTTGAACCGCAACGTGCCAAAGAGAATGCTGCGTGGATGTTTATTGCTAGCGGGCCTCGTGCAAGCAGCACTCGGACAGAATGCGGTAAGACTTTCAGATCATTGTAAAAGTATTCAGTTTTGGAGGACCTAGCACCGTTTAAGTTGGTGGATTTTTTTACTTAAGTTTTTTTTTTCTTATAAGAATTTAAAATTTCGAGAGATTAATCAAAACAATATAAGTATAAAGAAATCATTTGCTCTGTTTTTTTGTAAGTGGAAATTATATTTAAATAATTCTCTCTCTCTCTCTCTCTCTCTCTCTCTCTATATATATATATATATATATATATATATATATATATATATATATATATATATATATATATTATATATAAAATATTTGCGAAAATAAATTTAAAGTTTGATCCCCCCACACCCCCCCCAAAAGATAATTTAAAAATGAATAAATACAAATTAATTTTATATTGAGAATGTTTTGTTTTTTTTGTAGTTAACAACTTTATTTATTCTTACCAAAAAAAAAAGACTAATAAAAAGGTTAATTAAAACAAATAAAAACTTTTAAGAATTGACTTTAGGAATTTCCTTAGGTAAAAAAAAATAATACAAAAATATGGCAATTAAAAGATTAATGAAAGGAAATTATTTTTAAAATAAAATTAGTTCTGCCTGAACGCTATAATTAGCATGTGTTCATTTAACAATATTATTCGTAAGAAATACAGAATTTACATTTTTTTTTTAATTGGTTGACAGAATCTTGCAGGCTACGGACCACAATACTCAGCCGGTGGACCTGGCATCGGCAACTCCTACCTCAGCTCAGTCAATGCTTACCCCGGCGGATTAGGGTCCGCTTACCCCGGAGGATTAAACTATGGCCAAGGCAACCTACTTTACGGGGGGTCAGGTTATGGCGGTGGGATTCTGTCTCCAGGTGAATACAATATCTGTTCAATAAATCATTCGATTACTCTACTCTCCGATTTTTCCGGCTGCTATTTTAACTTTATGTTGTTGTGAGGATCTGCACCTGACTCCACTGCGTTGAGATCACGATAGAGAGATGGTTAGGGCTTAAAACTGTACACCACCCTACCCAACTGTTCCTCCATATATACATTATGTCGTAATATACATATATCTGACTCCACTGCGTTGAGATCACGATAGAGAGATGGTTAGGGCTTAAAACTGTACACCACCCTACCCAACTGTTCCTCCATATATACATTATGTCGTAATATACATATATATATATATATATATATATATATATATATATATATATATATATATATATATGTGTGTGTGTGTGTATTAAACACAACCTTAGAATATAGTGTTTGCCCCAACAGAAGGTGCTTTGCCAAAGTTAAATAACGTGTCTTTACGACATTTTTGTTGTAGCTTTAAACAGTGGTAGTTTAAGGGTTAAATGACGTACACCTGGTTGTAGGATGCGACATGTGCATCATCTGAGCATCCGCGCACAAAATGCAGGCGTCCAACCAACGCACGGACACGTGATGAAATAGGAACTGTGGACAAACTCTTGGCGAAAGTCGTGGTTGCTGTAGTTGAGGTTATCTAGACGTGTCGATAACATGATCCCCTTAACGCGCACATGCGCCACCAATATAACTTCACAAAGACGTTGACGCGTCATTAAGACGTGCATGCCTCATTAACATATTCCCATTAAGACCTATATAGTTTTTGTTTTTTTTCCTATTCCAGTCGGAAGGTACGGATTAACTGGGGGAGCTAACTCTTATAACTCTTACCCACAAGGCAAATACTCGGGTAAGTTGACATTTGGTGATGTCTCATCCCATAACGACGTCATTCTGTGACGTAATATTTTGATGATCCAAGTCAACAGGTAGATAGATAGATGTGATTTTTTTTTCTTTCATTTTTACTTAAAAAAGGGGATTTTTAAAATTAAAACCACTAAGTTTCAACCTTCCAATATAAACGTCGAGTTTGCACGGCTGATAATTCAAAATGGAAAAAAAAAAATTGAAACAACCCCCTAAAAACACAGTGTTTCGTATAAATCCTTTATAAAATGTAATACCCAGCTATTTGGAGAAAAAGGGTAGGGTAGGGTGGGGTGGGGTGGGGTGGGGTGGGGGGGGGCGAATAAAAATTTGACAAAACATGCTTACAAGTAACGCATTTTATAAGAATCCCAATTAGTGCTCTCCCACCCCTCAGGCCCGCAACTGCACTTTTTTTCACGCCCCTTGTCTAAATTAAAATTCTAATGACCCAACCCCTTTTAAACCGCGGATTTATTTCACCAACTATATCAGAAAAACAAAAAAGAAAATGTTACGCACCAAACGCACTGGCGTTTTCTATTTAAAAAAAAAAAATCTCATTGAGCGCAGTTATCGGGAATTTTATTTCGTGTCCTTCTGGCATCAAATTGCCTTCATCTTTATCTTGAAAAACAGCATAGACTGATTTTTTGGGGGGTTGGGAAGTGGGGGCTGAAAAATTTGTTAAAATGCATTGGCTACGCGCCTATGTGTCAAGTCTCAGCTCGATAGGTTGACGGGAAGTGGATCAATCAGCCATCCAACGATTTGTCCAGCAAGCCAGCCACGAATAAGAGCGAAGTTAATATAAAGAATTTAAAAAAAAATCTAATGAGAAAGAAGAGTGGAGACCATAAATACCAATGCAGACATTCAACGCAGTGCCACATTTTGATACAACATTTTTTTAATTGATGAAGATGTGTTCAATGGCAGCGATTAGTTCCCGGACAAATAGTGCAATCAACTGAAGTCTAATACATTTAGAAAATTGTAAAGGTTTTAGTTTTGAATCTACTAAATGTATAGATTTATAAATATTTTAGTTATTGAAGTCTAAAAAATTTACAAAATCTTAAAGGTTCTTTAATAAAATTGTAATTTTTTTCCCCCTAGAGCTCAGTAATTTTGTCCACTACAGTCATCTATTTTCCTGGTAATGAAGTCAATTTGCTTAACAACCGCGATTGTACCGTACTTCCGGTTTTAGCTTGCTGGTTAGCGTACTTATTGTACCCATGTTTTTTAAAGATCTGTGTGGAAGGTTGTGGTGGATGGTTGGTGTGGATGGTTGGTGTGGATGGTTGGGTGGAAGGTTGGTGTGGATGGTTGGTGTTTAAGGTTGTGTGAAAGGTTGTGGTAGAAGGTTGGGGTGGAAGGTTGGTGTGAAAGGTTGGGGTGGATGGTTGGTGAGGAAAGTTGGGGTGGATGGTTGGTGTGGATGGTTTGTGTGGATGATTGGTGTGGAAGGTTGGGGTGGAAGGTTATGGTGGATGGTTGGTGTGGAAGATTGGTGTGCATAGTTGGTGTGGAAGGTTGGGGTGGAAGGTTGAGTGGAAGGTTGAGTGGAAGGTTGGTGTGGATGGTTGGTGTGGATGGTTGGTGTGGATGGTTTGGGTGGAAAGGTTGGGGTGGAAGGTTGGGGTAGAAGGTTGGGATGTATGGGGAAGGGGTTGGGTGGTGTGCCGTAGAGGAGTGGAGGATGGATGTGATTTTTGTGTGTGTCTCCGAGATATGCGTCCCCAACCACAGCCCCAACATCACCACCCCCCGCCCCGCAAAAAAATAAATAATTAAAAATCTTTATATTCGTCTTTATTCGTCTCTAAGCTACATTGACGGTAAAAAAATTATTCAAAAATTCAATTACTTGTATATTTACTTTGATTATACACCCCCCCCCCACAGATAATCTAAAGTTGACCGGAAGTGCACTGTTTGTCGAAAAGCAAGGCTACAACAGCGGATCCGGTAATCATGGTCTCGCCGTGACTGTGGCAAAGGTGAGCAGAATGAAAATATATATTTTAAAAAAAAATACTATTGATTTAGTAATCAACTGATTTCAATACAAGATTTTTTCTACTTAGAAATTGACACAGGGTCAGAGAAAAAGTTGAAGTTGTTTTAGATAAATGCCTATATTTTACCGTAAAAATTATTTTTAAAAAGTTAAGTTTTGAGAAAAATGATGTGTAACTTTTTTTTATTTTGGTGGGGGTGAAAAAAAAAGGGGGGGGGGTGGGGGTGTGCAAAAAAAGGTCAAGAAATCCTGATGTCATATATGGATGCCCACATATCTGTTCTATGAGAACGCTTCATTTTAAGGTGGAAGTTTATTTACCAACCGATTCTCCAAATGTTTTTTTATTTTGGTGGGGGTGAAAAAAAAAGGGGGGGGGGTGGGGGTTTGCAAAAAAAGGTCAAGAAATCCTGATGTCATATATGGATGCCCACATATCTGTTCTATGAGACCGCTTCATTTTCAGGTGGAAGTTTATTTACCAACCGATTCTCCAAATGTTCATGCTCTTGATTACAATTCTGTCCCCGAGTCAATGATTAAAACATTTTATTCTCCTGATCTTTTGTCATGAAATTTCTAGAACGCACCAAGCCTTCTGTTCGGTGACTACTTCGGAGGTCAAGGTCTGTCCATGAACTTACAGGTCCAGACTCCCCTGGCAGGGTATTATCACGTGGTGGTGACGTCATTTGCACGCATACAGGACGGCTGCAGTGCGGACACCCTGGGCAATATACTGACGAAGTAGGTTGTGGTGGGTGCTTGTGGTTTAGTTGGTGTCGCAAGTACCTGTGGGTGGCACTATGCGAGGTTGGTGGTGCAAGTACGTGTGGGTGGGGCAAGTCCGTGTGGGTGGTGCAAGTACGTGTGGGTGGTGCTATGCGAGTTTGGACCAAAGTCATCGGGTGACTTTTGGAGACTCCCACCCCCCCCCCTTTTTCAACATTGTCATATTTCAGGATTGTTCGTCCACAGCCTTGCTTTTGTGGTTGATAGTTTCAAATGTTTCGACATCGCGCTTTGGGCAACTTACATATCAGAGACCCCCATGCAGCCGCCTGGGTGGCAGGGCCAGTGTGAGGGCTGTGGTTTGGGGGAGGGGGGGTCAATTTGAGGGCTGTGTTTGTTTTTTTTTGGGGGGGGTCAATGTGAGGGTTGTGGTTTGGGGGTGGGGTCAATGTGAGGGCTGTGGTTTGGGGGGGGGGGAACCAACAAGCAGTTTTCCTATAGAATCAGTGAAGAAACCAAAAGCTGGTGTCGTGTATAAGTACACATATTATAATTGTGGCCACTTTGTACACATTTAGTTTTGCTTGTGTGTAACGATTCGGTGTTAAATAAATGACAATGTACAGAAGTGGTTAAGAAAATCTCCATTAATGATTGTACGTCTTCTCAAATGGTTTTCCTAATCTTGACAACTTGAGTCATTCTGTCTTTACATCCTTCAAATTTTAATTTATTATTTTTTTTTGGGGGGGGGGGTGTCATCCCCTGTCATTTTCCCCTCGCATTATTTTTTTTTTGGGAGCGTTGGGTATGGGGTCCTCATGTCGAGTCTTCGAACCATTTTTTTTTAGATTAGCCCGTGTATAGTGCATAACTTTAGACCTAGTACATGCAACACATTAAACAAGCGATATTGTCTTCACAGAGCTGCACCTTGTAAATTACGTCTTGTCGTCCCATGATTTGGACTATCGTTACTAAAGACGTGGTGATTTGTTCACATGCTGCCATTTTTAAGTGCTTGTCTCTTATATTAATATTTTGGTACACCTTTATTGGTGAATTTAATATTTGCTAAATTTCATTTTTTTTTTGTACAGTCCATCCGTCTATTACCCCGTGTATGGTGGCGCCAAGTTTGGAGACGCTGGACTCCCCGAGGGCGCGGTCGCTTTTGTCGAGCTGGGAAGCAATGTGCAGAAGTCCCTTTACGTGGGTCGCATCCCTCAGTTTGATAAGCTGGAGGACATAGCTGGGAGAGGCGTAGCTGTAAGTATGCAACAAAGTGAAATCGCCTTGTGAATAAACGTTAACATTGCTCCCCTTTTGGATGGGGAGGGGGGGCAATAACGGGAGAACAGTGGCGTAACTAGGGTTAGTACCATCAGAGCCGGGGGCTACGATTTTGCAGTCCCCTTCCAAAAAAACAAAACAACAACAACAAACTCTACAGGTGGTCAAAAATGCCCCCCCCCCTTCCACCTTTCAATATATAGAGCAAAAAGTTCCACCCGGGGCTAACCCCCCCCCCCTTCCACCAACCCTTCCTACGCTGGTGGGGGTAGGTGGTATTTGATGGTGTTGAGTATTGCATCAATGAATGTACCGGATAAAATTAACACAAGTGTGTTGTGGGCGTCACTCAGGAATAACATTGGAGGGTTTCACCAAATCTATTTGTACAAGAACAAATATCTCTTTAAAAATACTCCAATGTATCTTTAAATAGTATGCGACATAATAAAGATGTAATGAAGACGTGGGGTAAAATTAGCTACCAAGCTTGATGGAAAGATGGTATGTCATTTTTTTACAGTGTTTCCCTTATAATCACTGGATGTTATGTTTAATACAAAGTATTCTGGGGACACTGTTGTGAATCAAGATGAATGTGAAAACATACTCTTGTGAAAAGATTCTCTTGTAAAAAATTACCCCTGTGAAAACATACTCTTGGGAAAACATACTCTTGTGAAAATATACTCTTGTGAAAACATACTATTGTGAAAATATACTCTTACAAAAACATACTCTTGTAAAAACATTATCTAACACATTGTTATGATAGAGGTTTAAAGTTTAATTTTATTAAGTATTTGAACGGTTCCTCTTTCTTTGTGTCTATTTTGATTCCTAGCTTATTGTTTTTGGATTTGACAAATTTAGCATCTCAATCTGAAGTTCATACCTATCAAAAGTGTTTAAAATTGTTTTTTATACAATCTTAAGATCAGATGCTTATAAATTAAGCTTTTAACCAATTTGTTTAACATTCAATGTTTTTTCTAAATCCTTCTTTGTCCAGATATGTGCTGCGGATGGGCCCGACAGCTCAAAGACTCCATGCCGTGGTCAGATCGTGGCGTGTGTTGGTCTGGCTTACAGCAAAGATGACGCTTCCCTGCCATCATACGAGGTAAGAACATAACTATGGCTTAGATATGGGGGAAACAGTGTCGAGCATACAGTATTTTTAAGGCATTGAGATAGGAGTATATACTTTGATGAAGGTGAAAGAAATGAAAGAAAAATATATTAATCCTGAACTCCTGAACTCTGAACTCCTGAACTATGAACTACCAGGCGCTGAACAGCATCGTATGGTCATTAAGTAGATTGCGCCATTAGGGGGGGGGGTGTAGGGAATCTTACCATGATTGGCCTGGGGGAATTACATTGCACCACGGACTGTACTGGGGAGAAAGGGGTTAACGACAGCATTTGACCTTCAGCATAATTAGGGCCCTTGGGTAACTACTCCGTGCACCTGTACCATAAAGTGACACCTCTTCTTCATTTTGAGGGCCCACGATCAATGAATTGATCATCATATGCATAGATTTTAAAAAAAGAAATATTTACTGGGTGTTTAAGATATTTATCATAACTTAGAAGGTATTGCTTCATAGCAAAGCTTAGAAGGTATTGCTTCATAGTATAGCTTAGAAGGTATTGCTTCATAGTATAGCTTAGAAGGTATTGGTTCATAGTATAGCTTAGAAGGTATAGCTTCATAGTATAGCTTAGAAGGTATTGCTTCATAGTATCACCTATCAATAGAGATGTAGACACTTGTAATTATATATTTATCTAATATATTATGTTTTATTTCTTGGTAAGTTAGTTTAAGAAAAACTATTCATATTAATAGAAAATGCAGCGTGCCGCCATTGGTGTTTTGTTTCGTTATATTTGTCTAAGTATGTAACACTTTTTTAAGCACTCCTGTTTATGGCGTCACCAACAATAATTGAATGGTGATTGCTTATTTCGTCTCAGCCACAGAGTTATAAAGATAAAGCCACACCACAACAACCATACGACGCCCCTAAGACACCCCAGATCCCATACGACCCACCTAAGACACCCCAGCAACCATACGCCCCACCTAAGACACCCCAGCAACCATACGACGTCCCTAAGACACCCCAGATCTCATACGACGCCCCTAAGACACCACAGCAACAATACGACCCCCCTAAGACATCACAGCAACCATACGAGCCCTCTAAAAGACCACAGGGACCTTATTCCCCATCACAAACTGGAGGGAACTACAAGAACCCAGAAGATGACTACTACAGGTAACTCGGTTAACCACTTGTGGATAGGTATGTGACGTCGTTTTAAACTCAAATAACTCACATTGATGTTAACTATTATATATATAAATATATATATATATATATATATATATATAAATATAAATATACATTAAGTATATCAAACAACTCCTGAAAACGGAAGTTTTTCTTATAAATCTTTCATATGCATTTTTTAAATTATTTTTTGTTAAATTTAATATTCAAATGTTCCACCCATTTTTACACCGTAGATTTATTACACACAATTATTTCAAAAAAAAACGACGGCAAATATTACGCACCAAACGCACTTGCGATATTTTAAAAAAAAACGACAGCAAATATTACGCACNTTAAAAAAAAAACGAACGAAAATATTACGCACCAAACGCACTTGCGATATTTAAAAAAAAAAAAAAAGAATCTGCATTGGCGCAGTTATCTCATCTTCCCTTTGAAAAATAGGAAAAAAACTAATTTTGAGGGTTGAGGTGTGGGGCTGAAAATTTGATTGAATGAGTCGTCATCGGCAACACGTCTTTGTGCAAAGTTTCAGCTCGATAGATTGACGGGAAGTGGGTGAATTAGCCGTCCGAGGACTTTGCCAAGCACGCATTTAGAAAGAAATACACGAAAAAAATACGGAGTCAATATTAAAGGATTTAAAAATACCCCCCCCCTCACTCCCCTTTTTTTTTGTTGCACAATTCTTCATTTATGATGTAAGGATCATGCATGTTTATACTTAATTTTTTTTCTCACCAAAACTATTTGAATTATTAGCAAGCACCATCATTCATAGTTTTAAGTTGTTTTTTTTTTTTTTTTTTTTTTTTTTTTTTTTTTTGTTTTTTTTTTTTTTATTGTAAATTTTTTTTTTTTTTTCTTTTTTTTTTTTTCTTTTTTTTTTTTTTTTTTTTTTTTTTTTTTTTTTTTTTTTTTACTATTCTTTGACATTTTTATGATAAGTGAGAATTTTTTTTTTATATTCCTTTTTTTTTTTACCATATTTTGTTTCGCTTAAAACAAGCTCTGCCCTAGATATAGATATTTTGATACACTGCACACAGGTTTGTGTTTTAAACATTACTTTACATTTTCATCTTCCCAGCGGTCAGCCGTACCCCGGCACCCGTTACTACGACGGCAACAGCGAGGGGGAGTACGACAAGAACAGCAACCAGTTGGTTGACACGTACAACCCGCCTCGAACGCCAACCGGTTACGAGTACGAGGCCAACCTGAGTCGGAGACCCAAGGCCAAGGAAGGACCAATTTGGTACGGACCAAACTGATGGGTCCAATTACCGCGCCATAAGTGAACCATCGTAAAATCTCCCGAATGTCTTGGAAAACACACGTTTGAATAAATGAACATACAGCAAGCGGCGGATGTCAGTCTTTAGTGTCGATATTTTTTTTTTTATAAGTTCAAAGTTGGTTATCATATGGTAATACAATTTGATCCCATATGAAAGCAATACTATTTGATGACATATTAAAATAATACCATTTGATCTAAAATATAAAAGTAATACTATTTGATCACACATTAAAGTAATACTATTTGATCACATATTCGATTTTTAATCAATTGAATAGATACTTAAGTGTAGCCAGTTTATTTTTAAGGATCAGTGTTTGGATTAAAAAAATATGAGCATATATAAGTTATATTAAAGAGATCAGACGCAATGACATGGCAATGGACCCTGTAAAAAATAAGTGAAACAGACGCAGTTGTGTCAAATATTGACTGAGCTCAGATATGTATGAGAAAAAGCTAAGACACTAAACTATTTACACATTCGGGATCTCGATACTTCATGTATATATATTGGACAAGTACGAATGTGTAGATACAACTTTCGTAATAAGAAAATGAGAGTTGTTATTAAAAATGCAGCTTGGTGAACAATTCAAAATAAATGATTTTGTTTTAAAATTTATCACAAAGTGTTGCAGTTTAAGAGGTTTAGCTTTATCTTAAACTTCTCTTTCTGTCCCCCCCCCCTCTCTCTCTCTCTTTTTTCTCTCTCTCTCTCTCATTTCCTTCCTTTCTCTCCCCAACCATATCTCTCTGTCTCTTCCTCGCTCTTTTGCCCCCCCCTCTCTCTCTCTCTTGCTTTTTCACATATCTCTTTCTCTCCCCTCCTTCTACATCTCACTTTATTCTCCGCACCTCTATTACCTTCTTCTCCATATCACTGGTTCTCAAACTTTTCTCAGCTTTGCCTAACCAATGACACCTCAGACATTTCCCCACAAAAATACCATCAACCAAAGGAAAACAAAAGAACAAGGTAACATTTGTTTCCTGCACAAATATGATATCCAATCCAATATTACAAAAAGAAATGTTCCTTCTAGAATATACATGTTGCATTGTTTGTTTGCATATCCCCACAATTAGCTACAAAAACTGACATGTAACCATCTGCCTCAGATATCACACAGCCTGTGTTATGTCTAAACTTCTAGAGCAGGGGTCGGGAACCTATGGCCCGCGAGCCAGATCTGGCTCTATTGATGGCTGCATCTGGCTCGCAAACAAATGTTCGATTATAAAAAATAAAAAAAAATTAAAAGTCGCATTAATGGTACGAAATACTCATTATTGATTAGCAACAGCATAACAATGTTATTAAAAAGAATTCAGAGACATAATTATTGCATTTTTAGTGTTGAAATTACACAAAATGCACACATTTACTTGAATTTTTAGTTTTAAACATAATGTATGGCTCTCACAGAATTACTTTTCAAAATATGTGGTGTCCATGGCTCTCTCAGACAAAAAGGTTCCCGACCCCTGGTCTGGAGTCTCGCGTGAGAGTTTGGATTTTTGTGTATTTTGTATACTTTTTTTTTTTAGGAAGGAGTTGAAAAAACTATTTCCCATAGCGACTGAGCAGATGAACGTAAACTGTGTCCTGTAATAGTGGTCGGCAACCTGCGGCTCTTTTAAGGAACATACGCGGCTTTTAAAAAAAAATGCCAATCTACATTGACAGGTCATGCATGTTTGACCTAACCACGTGACCATGCTAAAAATAGATTGGCCTTCAATTCTGTCCAAAAACCGACGAGGTGTTCCAATCCCAGCACCACCGCCGACCCCAGGACTCCGACCACGAGCAGGTAGAACGCGCTCTGTACGTCCTGGACAGTGCAATCAGGCGCGTCGGTGACGGTGGGACCGCTGCAGGCGCTTCTTCTTGGCCACCAGCGCCGACCCCAGATGGTCATCAGGCCGTACTCGCACATGTGCTTCACGCTAGAGGGGTGGAAGAGCGGTGGGTTGGAAACAGGTCAATAGCTGGTCACAAGATTTCATCCAGACAAACAGACAGACACAGCAGACAGACACAGCAGACAGACACAACAGACACGAAAGAATAAAAACTTTGAAAATGTTTCAGCAAAAATAATAATAATAATAATTTAAATATCTGAAATTTAGTTTCAAGATCAGTCTGCTGTCAAATAAAATTATATTTTGCGCTCCCTCGTCGTCGGTAAAGCCAAAATTGTCAACAGTAAATGTATTTTAAGATATTTTAAGATCTATAAAGGTGAAGAGTCAAATTTTAATTCGGTGTTCTTGGATGTTATAGAAGAGGGCCGTGTGGGATTTAGGGTAAGTGACACCTACACGTCAAGGTGCTTCTTATCGTTCACCAACTAAAAGCTACAGATATTTAATTGTAAAAAAGTATTAAAAAAACAGACATTTCTACAATTATAATGATTTTATATATATATATATATATTATAATGATTTCTTATCTATTTTTTAATAATTCTTATATTTATATATATATATTATATATATATATATATATATATATATATATATATATATATATATATATATATATATATATATATGAAATAATAACTTAAAGTTATTTGATATCACACTTTATCAATTTTTTTTAAAATGAATTAGATTGTGGTTTTTAAAAAGTCGATTTTGGTGAACTGGTCTTATTTGTGATATTCATATTTGACAACGGCTGCGATTCAGCGAGGTGATTTCACGATGCCTGGAAATAAAGGATAAAAACGATCGTCACTGACGCCCGACTTCAACCATTCTACGACGGCTCCAGCACGTCACAGCGACATCCTTAAGATATCACAACGCTGGATTTAAGATATCACAACGCCGGCTTTAGGATATCACAACGCTGGATTTAAGATATCACAACGCTGGATTTAAGATATCACAACGCCAGCTCCAACATATCACTACGCCAGCTTCGGGATATCATAATGCCGGCTTTAGGATACCACAGGGCCAGCTTAAAGATATCACAACTCCGGCTTGAAGATACCCGGTATCACAAAAACAGCTCTGATATATCACAACGCGGGCTTGAAGACGTTACCTCACCCAACAGCTTACACCATTCATTACATTATTATTTTAAAACGCAACAGTGTCCTTACTGTTCTGAAAACAGATCTGTGTAAGGCGAGCCGTTGACCAGGCCGACGGCGTAATGCAGCGTGAAGAGGTTCTCCTTGATCAGAATATGATCGCATTCGTCCACGTGCCAGTAGTCCGTGATCGATTTCTCCACAATGAAGACGTAGTCTTCACGCTTCACTCTCCCGAAGTGCTCGTTGACATTCAGTGACAGGACAGACGGGTCCGATTGGTTGACTGTCTTGATCCTCTCCCACAAGGCTTGTTTAACGGGATCTTCTGAGTACTAAACCAACCAAAAAAAAAATAATTTAAGTAAAATTGTGTTGGCGGGAGCAGTTAAAAAATATATATTCACCGAATTTTTTGCTACAGACCAATTTCAGGGAAGAACAGAAACTCAGACAAAGACTTTCAATGCTGAAATCAATAAATGCAATGCAAAAAAAAAAAACACCTTCCATTTTATTTGGATCTATAAAAACATCTCATCTTATCTTATATGACCTGGAACAGCATCTCATCTTATCTTTTATAACCTGGAATATCCTCTCATCTTATCTTATATCACATGGAACAGCATCTCGTCTGATCTTTTATTACCTGGAAGAGCATCTCGTAGATGGACTTGCCCATGACCCCCCACTTGAACTTGTCCTGGCCCAGCATGCCCTGCAGGCTGTAGAAGGGCACCGGTTCCTTGGTGACGGTGAGGAAGGCGATGAGGTTGCCGCTGTACGTGGAGGACACCACGATGCAGTACAGCCACCAAAACGTCAGGAGAGTCCGGCCAGTCGCTGATCTTGGCAGCTGTTCCCCGCCTTCAGTGAAATATAATTATAAGGAAGTTACACGATAAAATTATATTACATTTGTTTTTTTTCTCTATGTATTGTTTTATTTGACCTAAACTTTGAAAGCCAAAGCAGCTCTATATTTGTTTAAGCAAACAAATTTTGCAATTATTTATTACCCTGTGCCAATTCTCTGTTACAATGTAATGCTCGTCCTTCTGGTTATTTAAGCCACTGTCGTCAATTGATGTCATCTCCTCTTTTAATGACGTCCTCTTTCATTTTAGTCCCAACGACATCTCATTGTGTAGAGTGTATCTATTTTTTTTAGACATTTAGACCTCTCCGTTACTTACGGCGAATAACTCGCTTTAACGTGGGTTTAATCCCATTTGCAACAGCTCAAATATTAAAATGATGAATTGTTTCGTACAATGTATTGTTTTCGCAATTTAAGATTAACAGGAAGTTTGATATATAAATATTTCATGCGCAGACATACGACAAGACAGAAAAAATAATAAGATCCAAGTGGAGATGGGCTCTAGCCGTGTTCCAGTGTACATCTCATCAAGCATCGCGTTATTTATCCAACAGATCTGAGTGAATTATTTGTATGAAGTAACAAAGCAATGACAAGTATGTTTCCCCCAGTTTAGGAGATTTACTTGATGCTGTGCGAAGTGTACATTCTGTCCATAAACTTACCGTGATGCGATCCGTGGCACTGTGGCCTCATGCTTTTAATTGATAACTATTTGGAATGCTAAGTTAGGAGTGCTGAATGAGTAAACGCACGAGCCACATTGGACCGTACTCATACACCTAGAACATCAACGGTACTATCAATATTTGTTGTTACACCTTTAAAAGAACTACTTTAAATTTTGTTTAACTAGTGTAATTTGCTCTTAGTTTGTTTTTTTTTGTTTTTTTAAACATGTGTCATCACGTCCATATTAAATGCAGCGTTTTGGCCTGAGCTCAATAACCAAATAAAACATTTTTATTTTAAAGACAAAGGTGAACTAACTAACAAGAACCAGTGACAAAAGAGAGGGGGGGGGGGGGGAATGGCGTTTTCCAAGGGCTAGCTACTCAGTTTTCCTACATATTTAAAAAGAACGACAAAATATCACGTCCATATTAAATGCAGCGTTTTGGCCTGAGCTCAATAACCAAATAAAACATTTTTATTTTAAAGACAAAGGTGAACTAACTAACAAGAACCAGTGACAAAAGAGAGGGGGGGGGGGGAATGGCGTTTTCCAAGGGCTAGCTACTCAGTTTTCCTACATATTTAAAAAGAACGACAAAATGGTGGAACGGATCGCAACCTATCTTTTGGAACCACCACCTTTTGTAAAACACATGACTGAATAGCCTCCACCCCCAACTCACCCTGATTAATGAGCGCACCAAACATGTACATCAAGCTGTCGGCTATCCCGTGCAGTTCACTTGTGATAGCTTTGTGTCGGTAGTACGGGTTGATCCGTTCCAGGAAAGTGATGAGCGCCGTCGCAACAATGAGGGAGATGAAGATGGCAATGTGGACCTGAAGTAAATACACACAATACTGGGTGGCCTTTGATATTTTCTACTACATTCTCCCAATTATTTTTAAATTTAAAAATTAAAATGTTAGTTATTTCGAAGAATTCTTTTATTTTTTTTTTATATCTGAACTGCCTGTTCAATAAAAATTACATTTAATAAAAAATTTAAAAAGCAGTATATTTCTAAGTTAAAAAATATTCTAAAAATGTGTCATTTCCAACGAAACTTGCAGCCATTAAATAATGGGAGACTATTTGGAATTGCCTCGGTCACGTACTGCTCATCTGACTTAGGCCTACATTTAAACATACATAATGTGTACATTCTAAAATTGTGTGCATTTTAATTTTTTTTTTAATTTACTTTAAAGATAACCATATGCAGAGGTGTCAACGACAATCTAGTCATTTTTTTTTTTTTTCCCCCCCCCGCCCCCCCCCCCCCCCCCACAAAAAGCCACTTAAAATTAATCTTATTTTAGTTTCGTAATATTATGTTAGCTTTAACCTTTTTAAAAATCCAACTGTAAGACAAAATAAACTTATAATTTTCACATTCAAACGACGCTATTATATATGACATAGAAGTAATTGTTACCTTATTGAGAAGATCAACCAAACAAAAAAAAATGAGGGCCATATTTTTAAGAACAAAAATCTGTTGATGACCGTATTTACTTCGCCATTATTAATTTTCATTCCTTTTATACCTGATAAAATTATGAATTTCTATATTTTACATCTTATATCCTTAACATGTCAGTATAAATTATTTCACATCTTGTCGGAGGCGTAGCTAAGGGGGGCGGGGGCGGGTAAAGATGTCCCTAGTTAGGGGCGCCACAATGTGCTAGGACATTATTTTATTGATGAAAATAATGGGTTTGAGAGTTGAAAACAAGAAAAGGGGAGGCGCTTTAAAATGCATCTTGTGACCGGAAGCCAAACACTCAAGCTACGCCGCTGCCTCTTGTTCAAACTCTGCTCCAAAATGTATTCTCTAATTAAGCCCCGGGCCATCAACATAGTGTCCCAGTCATTTCAACGAGCTCTTTGACTTGTAGACGTGTACCAAATATCTTCTCAGCTTTAAAGCTCCCCGCACCTGCCAATCAAACGGTCGTATGAGGGTAAGCCATTTCTTTTCGGCGGGGTCTGGTTTTCTCAGCACCATCAACGTGGCCTCGGTGAAGAACGGGAAGGTGAAGTCAATGACCTCATCTCGCAGAGGGTCAATCGCTAAAGGTGCCATCACCAGGTCGACTTCCTGAAATGCGTCATTGCATAAATTACAGTTAAATCTTATTTAACAGTTATCTCATTTGTGCGATTTCCATAGAAAAATAGTTCTAATTTTTTTTAATACCCTACATTAGATTTGACTAAACACTGTCTTAAAAACAAAGGAACATTCTCTATAACAGTGGTACCCAGCATTTTTGACTCGCATATGCCTTTTGAGAATTAATGTCGATTTTTTTTTTCGCGGGGGGAGGGGGGGGGGAGCTATTCCGCATGCCATATGTTTTACAAGTTGATGGTGTTATTTTTTTGATTTCTCTATAACAGTGGTACCCAGCATTTTTGACTCGCATATGCCTTTTGAGAATTAATGTCGATTTTTTTTTTCGCGGGGGGAGGGGGGGGGGAGCTATTACGCATGCCATATGTCTTACAAGTTGATGGTGTTATTTATTTGATAGAGCGCACACGGAGGCCACGAGAAGTGGACACAGATTGGGAACCACTGCTCTAAAATAGCTGTATATGGCATACATTTACTTGTCCAACTATTTGGGGGTGTTAAATCATGGAGGTGGGGAGGGAATGTGTCGCAGACACAACTGTTTGAAATGTTGTGTAGCCTACCCGTCTCTGAAGCATGCCAATAAGACCATTGGATACAGATTGATTTGACAGCGTGCCGAATTCCTCTTCAGGTGGCTCCACCATTACAGACCTTGGAGGTTTGGAAATTAAGGGAAAACATGCATTTAAAGCTGAGATCGTGGCACTAAGAGATGAATCGTGATACTAAAAGTTTAGATATTGATACTTATTGGGGAAATAGTGATGGGGCTTGGGACACTCGTTTGACACAGAAGAGTTGCAACTAGAGTAGACATCAATGAAACATGTTGAGACACTCGTTTGACACAGAAGAGTTGCAACTAGAGTAGACAGCAATGAAACATGTTGAGACACTCGTTTGACACAGAAGAGTTGCAACTAGAGTAGACAGCAATGAAACATGTTGAGACACTCGTTTGACACAGAAGAGTTGCAACTAGAGTAGACAGCAATGAAACATGTTGAGACACTCGTTTGACACAGAAGAGTTGCAACTAGAGTAGACATCAATGAAACATGTTGAGACACTCGTTTGACACAGAAGAGTTGCAACTAGAGTAGACAGCAATGAAACATGTTGCGTTCAATTTAAATTGATGTATATCAATTTAAAAAAAAAAAAACTATCGCTTTCAGTCAGTGCCGTTCTCTCCCTCTCTCTCCCTTCCCTCTCCCACTCTCTTAAATTCTTATCACTACTACTGTTTGTTGGGAAGGAGGCAGAGAGGGAGAGAGGAGTTGTATTTAAAAAAAAATCAAATATAACATACGTGAAATTGAGAAGGTCTTCCAGATAATTCAGAATGTCAATGCACAGACCAGACAACACTGTGCGGTTATCGCACGTCGTGTCTTTGATGATAAATGGTGGATACTGTAAAAAAAATTGTTATTTCTATAAACAAGGCTTTTAGTATGTCACCTCTTTCATTTATGTGGTAGCGCAAGTCAACAGCTGGATCATTTCATATCCGTGTACGTGCATATTTTTTAAATTAAAAAAACCCCACCCCAATGCCATATTTAATGAAAAGCCTCAAGAGAGAAAACACAACACACAAATCCGTTAGTCGCTTTATTTAAAGAAATGAGTTTTAACTACAAAGCCGTGTTTGGGGAAAAAAAAAAAGGGGGGGGGGGGACGGGGGCAGAAACAAAAAAAAA